ATGAATGAGTCCGCGATGTAAACATCGGCCCATTTGTGATTTAAAAATCCCGAAATTGGAGCCTGCTATGTAATCGACATGAAGTAAACAAAGTTTCACTGTAAGAATCTCGTATCATATTGCATTGACGATTTACGTTATGCGCGTACATTACATTCAAGATTATACATTTAAACTTGGACTGCATTGAGGCATTAGAAAAGTCATAAAATGAAAACTTCAATTTCATTATTAAATTAACGATAATATATACACGTTAATCTGAAACTGAATTCACCATTTTTACAATATTATTCGTATACAAATTAATTGAACTGAAAAATTACATTTGATATCGCCGTTTTACAATTTACTTATGCCTTCTAATGCAAGTCGGCAATCTCTCGTAAGGCATACTCTCATTCTATTTCAAAAAATCTCCAATAGGGCTTAATAAAATTTTAAAAAATAAAATGATTTTAAAAATGAATTATTTGAAATAACATATATAACATAAATATTCGTTTAGCATCAATCCTCTAATATAAAAATAAATGATAAAATACATCGTAATAGAAAAGAGCATCTATAATTATTTCTTATTGGAGTTTTTTCAAGATAGTGTACACGTTCGCTGTATCATTTAACATCGGCCTTTTCTGTAACACACATTAATAACATCCATTTCTCTACATGAAATTTGTTTTATTTCAACGGTATATTTATTATTACTGCAATAATCATCATAATATTTATTACTATTCACGCTCAGAAATAATTCCTTTAATTATTTTATTCATACGTGTTTATATGATTTACATTAATTTACGTTATTATGTTTGCGTCATTTTTATTTATAACCCTGAGATTATGAAATCTATCGCCACGGCGAATCTTCGCTTTTTAACCAATTCCTTAAACATTTATAGGAAAACCGCGATGAAAATATAAATATCGTTAACGGCTGTTAATAAATTTGTAACCAATTAACAAAAACCTTTGGAACTACCGAAGATATTCCTTTTTCTATTTCTACACTGCAATATATTTCAAAAAAAAAATAATTAAAATGTAAGTTTAAAATATAAAAAAAATTTAATTTCGTGATTAATGTAATTAACTAAAAAAAATAGAATATTCGAATTTACATTCTGAACAATTTTTTTTTTAATTAAAATAATTGCAAGATTATACATGAAAAATAAAAAAAAATCAACAATTTTTGGTAGTAGCACTAAAGTAGCAACAAAAGATTACATCTATTAATGTTTAATTTTTGGAAAATGAGGTGAAGTGCAGAGTGTCTAAAAAAATTATTATGAAAAGTTTAGAATCTACTAGTACAATCGTGATTCGAAATAAGCTTTTAATTTCTAAATTAATAAAACAGAACTGAATCTGACGAGGAATACAAGTATTTATATACGTATATAAAAAATGCTTTTCTATTGTAATATATATACATATATAATATATTTCAAAATTTTTAGCAATATTACCGATATACATCACAATAAGTACTATACTACTAAAATAGATTACTTCATAAATTTCTTAATCATTACTTTGTAGAGAAAAGAGTTTTCATCTCGTAAATCATGTTATGTAAGAGTGATTTATAATTTTGATGCACCTTTCAGTAATCTAATAATGTTAATAATTCATAATAAAATTTATGAATTCTATATTATATATTTTGATTATTTGTAATTTCTACACACTAGATTATATATATCATCTATGATGTATTTAGTTTAAACATAGTGATACTCACAACAGTAGTATTACTAATAATTTTATAGATTTACATTCTATTTTGACAATAGTGCACACACGAATACAGTTGGCCAATGACTCTCATAAACGTTGCATGTGCAGATAATGAATTGAAATAAGTCATATATAATACTTAATAACAACTTAAATAAATATCTATCACGTTAAAGCCTTATGGACTAATGACATCGATCGACTTCTTGATCAAAAAAGGTAGGTGCGACTGAATTGCACTTTAACGAATTACGCAGGTTGATATCGTGAGTCTCAGGGTTCATGCGCGACTATAACAATACACAAGCCGCCACATGAAAATGAAACATTATTAGGAGCATATTTTATTTATTTCTTTAATCAAAAACTTAATTTTTTTATTCATATTTTTGCGAGATATTACGCAAATATATATTGAGAAAAATTGTACAGAAGATGTTACCACGGTTATATTTCGTTGTGACAACGAGTAAACGCGCGCTATGTGTATGTTACCCATAACGCGTATATCACAGTTCAATAAAGAAGCTCTGTAGTTGCTTCTAGAAAAGAAAATCAAAAAGATTAGAACAGAAAGCTCAGAAGAATAGAAAGATTAACATAATACGAAATATAAAAATTAACTATGATTATTAACCAGAGGATGACTAAAGAAACATAAAAGTGCCAAAATAAATTTCTTACTGATTGTAATCGTTCTTATTAAATAATATAGCTTAGTACGTGAAACTTACATTGAAATAAAAATTTTTATATAACGCAATGCATAATTTTCTTGTAGATAAAAATTGGATATTATATATTATACATATTGATTATACGAAAAAGTCAAAGGCAAAGAATAGATAACCTTTTCTTTTTGTAATAGAATAAACATTATTATATTTGTTTAGTATATATATATATATATATAGAGAGAGAGAGAGAGAGAGAGAGAAAATTATATTTATAATATTAATAATTCTGAAAATATTTTCTACTTCAGGAACTTTTATTATTTATACAAACTATGAAAATTTTTCAACGATAAGTATTTGTAAATTATATTTTATTACTTATATATCTAAGCTATAATATAAAATAAGAACTAAAAGAATTGAAGTAACGATTTTTTTAAATTAAAATTATATTTATAAGTTAAAGATAAAAGAAAAATACAATTGAGCAATGATTCTAAACTTGAAAATTACTCTAATATGCAGCGAAATTCGCCGTGGCTCAATAGCCATGTCACTTTATTAACACGTAAATAAATCGGTTAGATTCCGACGGTTAGAAATGTGCCTTATTTCGATGTTTTAAAACTTAATTTTTAATGTATTTTTACTGTGAAAAATAAAAAATGATAAGTTATTTTTTAGCAAGAGAATACTTATTATATAAAATAATTTGTTTTTGGAAAATTATTTTAATAAAAACTAAGAGGATGTCGAAGTTTATATTTCTTTGAGAATTTCGCAATATTATTTCTTATTTTAATGTACAAATATATATATATATATATATATATATATATATATATATATATATATTTGTACATATATCACGAAATTTGGTTCCTGGTTTACTTTGCATTGCAAACTATTTTTTAAAAAATTGATGGTTTACTTGGGCACTCCTTATATTTATATATTTTTCTGGTTTGCAGTTAAAAATAAAATGTTTAGCTGATATTACATGATTTTATTATTCAGTTAATTCTAATCATAAAAAATTATTGCTCACATAATTTCTAATTAAAACAAGAAAATAGTTAAAACTAATTCATGAACTAAATACTAATTAAATTGTTTTATATGTGTTGGCTTACATGCTAACATATTTATACATGAGACCTAGCAATGCTTCTTTCTATTCATGAACACTGTACTGATGCAACTAAGTAACAAATCTTTTTCTTTAAAAAGATATATCACATTCAAAGTTATATATATATATATATATATATATATATTAAGATCTTCTAATTTAATCGCACAGCTACTATTTGATTCAAAATTTCATACATAGATTTGTTTTACTCGCTTTATCTAATTATTAATATAGAAGTACAATAATAAGTCACTATTATTCGATGTTAACAATTAGTTATTAATACTAAAAGAACATTTTGCAATCACTCTTTAAATAAAAATTTATCAAACTTGTTATATAACTAAATGGTCTCACACTTTTGAATACATAAATTTTAAACTTTGAAAATGTTATATATGATGTTTACTGTTGGTAATTTCTAATTTATTTTTTATTTAACCTTTGTATTGAAATAAATAATTTTTTAATTAATGGGTAATTTCTATAGTTATTTTTTGAATAATTATTTGACGTTGATACAATAAAATAACTTTTATTATTACTTATTAAAGTACTGCATATAATCTTATTATAGTATATTTCTTAAATTTAAAAAATCTCTTAAAGAAGGGCTTGAAAACAAATTAATAAATTAAATTATATTATACAATTTCTATATATATAACTTTTTTAAGTTATATAAAATTTAATATTTTGCAAATAATCTTTGAAAATTGTTTGTCTTTTCACGATTTAAGATAACAACTTATATATGTAAAATTGAAATCTATTTTACCGACTATCGGAGTTTAGTATGTTCTTAACGTTACTCAAAAATCTAAGACCATTCGAAATATTTAAAGTATAAATCAAGAGTAAATAGAAATTCTGGAGAGCCCAAGTTGGTTTTTGTATTAGAATATAGCAAAGGTCTGGTAAAATGTTATCGGCGTAAGACCAGTAAACGGGATCTCTTGTATCAACAGTAACGTAATAAGTAATTGAATAAAGACTGGATTTCATTCTCCTGCATCTATTTATTGTGGCACACGCGAATAACGATCGTTTGGCTCCATCGGTATGAATGTACCTTCAGAGAGACGAGAAGTCGAGCAAAAAAATGAAAAATCTTTTACATTAGCTGTATTTTTTATAACATAATTTCACTATCTGGATCGTTATATATTGACAGAGATCATAGTTTTCTATCGAATTCTCTCACTCGAAGTATACTATACATCAACCTAAGTATTCTTCTTTAACTTATTATAATGTTGCATAGTTTTGTTATCATTTATTCTTTCAAAATTTCAGCTTTTTTTTTATTTCATTGAGGTTCCATTAGCTCACTGGTTTAAGCTACGCTTATCTATTCTTCGCCCTCTTGCTCAACCTCTCCCCCCCTCTCTCTCCCTCTTTGTATCAATCTGTATCTAGCTACATATCTATCTATCAATCTATCTATCAATATATCTACCTGTCTATTTATCTAGCCATCTATTTTTCATAACTCTTTCTTACTCTCTCTCTCTCTCTCTCTCTCTCTCTCTCTCTCTCTTTGTCTTTTGCATTAATATCTCCCACACACCCACCTATTTTTTCCCGGTTTCTTATCGAAAACATTATATTAAACATTTTAACACTCTTCAATTCAACAAAGAAAAACGCTCATGTTATATGTTATGTGCATACAAGCGCGTACGAGTGCGTAGTTTGTATATGAATATGTAAAGTGGTGTGTATCAAGGCATTTGTTTTTAAAACTAAATAATCATCGGCCTAACGACCAGCGCTATGAAACACAAGAAACTTTCGTGCGCTCCACGAGCCTCATGATAATTCAATTTCTCATTCTCGTCATTTCCGATGGTCACCTCAATCATTCATCGACAAAAGCTTCGGGTTGCTGCGGACCCAGACTCTCATCGATAGCTGGCCGCCTCGAGCATCTCCACGAAGAGCTTATTCATTGGAACCTTCCCGGTGCGATAAATACTGGACCAGAACTTACGGACGATGCAGTCGGCCTGACGTAGGCCCGGCAGCACTAGGAACATGTTCTGATTTGCGCGCAGCGCTTGGCCTGGGCGCACCGCACTCACGCAGTCCGAGAGAGAGCCGAGGATGCTCTCACGGAATCGGTGAAGGGCATGAGGCTCGTCCAACTTCGCATCACTGTTGGTTAGGATGAGAGCTTTCAATACGTAGAATTCTTCACGGGCAAGACCCAATCGTTGCAACCTCTCCACGATTTGCATACACTGTCGAAATCAAGTAGCCATTATCGATTCAAGTGAGAAATACACTGTGGGACGACTCGACCTTCCGAATAAGTAACTCAACACGGAAAAAGTACTATAGTACAATTCATTAGCATATTATGAACCTAATTGGTTTATAGTGTTATACTTCCCAAATCTATGAATTATCATTAAATAAAAAAATAAATTAATTAATAAATATTAAGTTTTAAACGATAAGCGCTCTTTCAATACAATTAGTAAATATGAATCGAAAATAACATGCTTTCTCATTTATATGTAGTGTGATTTCATATATTTTTTAATTATCAAAATCAAAGCTCTTTTTAGTGCAAACTTATTAATGAGAAATAATATATAACTTCTTGACAATATGAAAAGATGTTTCATGTTATATCTAAGCTCTTTATTCAAAGTTTAATTGATAGTTAAATTTACAAATTATTTGTATGATAAAAAATTCGCTTCGGACTTGATGATAAATAATGTAACTATTTGTAAAAAATACATTACTTGTCACCTGAACATATGAAATAAACTTACGTGCATGTACAACTCATGACAATGACACTCGCGTGCAAGTCTTTCATCGAGAGTAAAGTCCTGAGCAAACCTAAGCTTTCCACTGTTTGGTATACTTCTCCAAGCAAGGCTGAAAGTTAATATCTCGGCCCACGTACTTTGCAGTAGTCGCATCTGATCATTGAGTGGCAGACTACTGAATCCTGGTATTTGCTTTGCCCATCCTTACAAATAAACAAAAAGTACATTATTAATCATTATTATAAGTTCTCCTATGAGCTTATAATGCAATTCAATAAAAATATTCTCTCGCAGTTGGAAATTTGTTTCATTTAGAAAGATTTATAATATACCAAAATCAAATGCTATGTATACACACTATCTACAATGTACACACACGCGTGCGCACGCACGCACATATACATAGATAGATAGATAGTTAAATAGATAGATAATATATGATAAAACTTATAAGATTCAGATTACATAACTTATAAGATTACATCCAAAAGCATAGCAATTGATATAATAAAAACAAACAGAATAACAAATTAATTATTAATATATTATTAAAATTTGTAATAGTAAATTTACAATTATTATTATGAAATAAACGAATTTAATACTATTTGTTTAAAGTTTTATTATACTTTTGAATTAAAAATCATTAATTATATTTATTTATTAAATCATCGGGAAATAATTCAAAAGAAAATAAAAATAAATAAAAATAAAAGTTACAGTTTATTTTTACTTAAATTTAATTATATTAATCAACATGAATTGATTTATAATGATGTTTTATTCCATTGGAAACTGTAAACTGGAAACTGTGTTACATTGGAACTGGAAGTCTTCAAGGTAACTATTAAAAATTAATTCACAAGTTTTTCTGAAAAAACTAATTTTGAGAAAAAAATTTATCAATATGTATTGATATCATTACAGCAGAACTTACCAATTATACCAACGAGCTCACGATCATACAGATCCGACAACTGACCGAGAACCCGCTGATCAGTGTCCAAAGTATGTGATAAGGTAGACACCTGCAACATATCGGGCTCACAGGCAATTAGTGCTTCCACCATTTTGTTATCTGCAAAAAATAATTGTTTTACTATGATTTGATTTAAAAAATTATCTAATGGAATGAGATAAGAGTATTCGTGAAAAGTGTCTTAAAGTGCATACTTTTCAAAAAATATTAATCGCATTTATATTTATACAAGATTGCAAATCTTTTTTTAAAAAATTATACATGTTGAAAACACGTCAAAAGGTATAAAATCATACATAAATTATTTGAATATAATGAATTTTTGATACAATAATTTTGGAAAAATTAAACATTCCATTTTAATACTAATTATTTTAAATTGCTTATTGGTATAGGCATTAAACTTATTGAAATGCTATTCAATGATTTAGTTTAATCACTTAGCCATTTTTTAACTAATTATAAAGATGGCAAGAAATAATGAAGAAACAAAAATAATGCAAAATAAAGAAGCTTTTTATAGTCGAATGTTTGAACTAAAGCTCACTTACTTATTGCTTCCGCATATCCTGCCGATCCTAAGTTAGCTTGAAACATCAAAACAAAAAAAGGTTTAATCACACTATTGTAATTAAGTAATTGAAGCTATACCATGCTTTTATTTAATGAATTACATTATTTATTTGTATTATATAAGTATCGAAGCGGTGAGTCATGTTAGTCGGTAACAATTTATTTTTATTGCAATTTTAAACTTCCCAATTAATTCATAAGAAACTGAATTAATGGAAAACAAGCGTCGTGAAAATAAATTCAAAATTAACATAAAAGAGAAAAAAAGAAGAAAATTTTAAACATCTGAATTTTTAAGCTACTAGGTATATACCTACTAGGTATATGTTTTACGCTGAGCGTTAAAAAAATTTTCTTATATTACTTTGTTCAGAACGTTACTTTACAAGTTTTCATTGTAAAAAAATATTATTGTAATTGCACACAATGTATCATGTATAGTTCGTGTATACTAAATAGAATAACTTCAACTTAATTAAATAGTAAAACAAAATTTATGTAATTTTTATAATTTTTCACATTAAAAACTATTGAAATTAAGATATTTAAAATATTTAAAATTATTTTAACTAATATTAACACTTTTTTATAAATAATAAATTCGTATATAAAAAATAACATTAATTTCAATACGCAGTTACATGAATTACGTTTAGTGGTTTTAGAAACATTATAAATAATATGATTTTATTAAAACTGCATTATAATAGAATATTATGAAATTGGTTTCATATTTTGAACTTTAAAATTTTCGTAGGTAATCATATATTTGTTTAAATATTTATAAAAAAAAATTTGTATAACCTTTTCTGAAAGACTTTTTACAATCGATATTTTATACGTAAATAAAAATAGCAAGATAATAAATAAAATAAATTATCCAATAAGCATTTTTAAAAAATAAATTAGATTTTAATAAACTAAATAGATAAATAAAATAATATATAATAATAACAATAATTTAAAATATAGCATAAAATATTTGTATAATCTATAAATTAAATATTTGTAACCTGCAAATAATTTAATGATTACAAATGAATAATTTAATGAGCTAATCAAGAATTATAATAAAATAAGCATGATTTCAAAATTTTATAATTTTTTAAGTAAAGATATTTTAATCTCTTCTTTTCTGTTAGAAATATCAAATGAAAGATTCATTTAGCTATATAATCAATTGAAATGAGAGCATTATGTAAAAATAATATATATCGCTGTAAGACTTTCAAATATAATTACGTAAGTTATATACACTACAGCAATTAACTAGTAATTAAATAATATTAATTAAATTTGTATAAGAAAAGTACGCATCAATCTACAATTATCTCTATGTAACACATATGTTTAAACATTAAAAATGTCATAACTTCATATTAAAAATTCACAAAATTGCCTCTTACTTTTAGGAAATCTGAGAGCAGCATAAATCAGGAAAGATTCCTAGCGTTACCCTAAATTTGCGTAATTATTAATGACTAATGTATTAACGCTATCGAAAATATAAAAAATATACTGGGAGAAAGCTTTACAAGAGACTGTTTTACTTATTATTTATCATTTCGATTACCTTCAAGTGTGATTGTCTTCCCGGGTACATAAGGATCAGTGCTCCTCCGGTACTTCTGTCTGCCTCCCCTCACGCGATCCAATCGCACTCCTTCTTTGAGCATCCCCTGTCTAAGACACTTTTGGAATCTACAAGCCTGACAGGCCTTCCTCCGGCGCTTGTTTATCTCGCATTCACCGTTCGCTGGGCAGGTGTACTCGATATTTCCTGTGAAGTTACTAGCTACTTTACCATTATATTCGCAGTTCTTCGCCAGATAGAACTGACACACGCACAACTATACATACTTTTCTTGCCTTTGGTTATTGGTCTAATTGATTTACGATATAAAGATTTATTTAAATACCTCACGCATAACTAGTTAAAATACATTCACAATTGTAGAAATGAACATAAAATTAATGTATAATATTTGGGACAAATTTAGTTACTATTATATTTATCACGCTTGTCGTTAATCATGACTTCTATTTATAGATACAAATTAAATATTTAATAACAATTAAGTGCACTTCAAAATTTTGAAATTAAAATTTTCTGTTTTTCAATTAAATAAAATGCTGAAATTATTTGCGGCATGAACATCTAATTAGATACAGCAAACTAAAAATATACTTATCCAACTGTAAATCAAACTTATAAAATAAAAATTTATTTGTGACAAATAAATATTATTAATAATAATTCTTTTCACATCTATAATTAAAATATATATGTAGTTATAGTAATAGTTAGACTACTTGTAAGCTAGAACTTTGTATATATTTATAATTTTATAGAAAGAACATTAAGGCAGATGTATATTACATTATATATATATATATATATATATATAATTATATATTAAGATTTGCGGTCATTACAGTCGCATTGATTTTTTTCTAATATAATGATAATTTTTTTTATAAAATAATTTCTTAAATATCTATAATACAGTTACTACTATAACAACAGACTTTTAATAAAAGAAAATAAATTTCAAATTAAGTTAAAAGACTATGTATAAGAAAAATATAAATCATAGAAATATTAATTTTCTTTACTATTAAAAAGTTTATTATGATTATAATTTTTAACAAATATTTAAATATTTCTTACAATTTTATAAAAAAATATTCAAATAGATTCAACAACGAACATTTTTCTTACTTATAGTAATAAAACTGATATGAACATTTAAATTGAATCAAATTAAAAATTGAAATACATTTTATAGTAAATATAAATAAAATTTTATTTCTTTAATTTTTCACAAAAAATTGATCTAAAATAAATAATCTTATTTTAAATATAGAATGTTCAATCGTAAGGCAGATAAAATAGTTCAGTGCTATCTGGAGGAGCAATAGGAAATTCATTAAAAAATACATATAAAAAATTTTCCATACCTTGTATCGTTCTTTTAAAGAAAGCTTTACAAGCTTCACATGATGCGACTCCATAATGAAAGCCACTTGCAACATCTCCGCAAACGAGGCATAATCTCCTCGGCATCATATCCTCCTCTTTGATGCCATCCTAAAGTTATATTTTTATAAATAGTACAAACTACTAAATATCAAAATTTAGAATCGATATGTGTTATAAAAATATAAGATTTATATATGTACATATTTATATGATATTTAATATTTAATGACTTTATAATAAACGCTTAAATTATTTTTTATAAATGTAGGAATTGCACTTAAAATTTAATTATTTAATTATCTATTTAATTATCTATTCATATTGTTATGTAATATTGAAAAATTTGCACGATCAAAATGTATTTGTATAATAATAAAATGTATGAATATATTTAATAGGTAAATTAATTGCCAAGTTATCAAATGAAAATAATTATAAAAATAAAACATATCTAAAATATATCTATATAATTTTTAACATCCTATAATTTCAAATATATTGCGATCAAAAATTTTACTTGTATTAATTTATATTATAATTATACTTAATGATATACTTAATCGTTAATATAATAAAGGCCATTAACATTCCACGCATTGAACAGTTTTGATAAACCTTTCTTAAAACATTCGTTGAAAATTGAAGCTAAAACAATTTAACAAATCGTGATTTTCCCAATTGTTTAATCAATAAATTGTAATAGAAATAAAAAACCAACTGTCGCATGTACATCCATAACTGAAAATTCTAACATGATTTTATTATTCCGTTTGATCATAAGTACGAAACATACTTTTAAATGAGATATATATTTAAAGTATGCAAAATCCTTCAAATATGTTCCATAGAAACTAGGGTCCCTGTTAACTTCATAGAAAGCTCATTGAATAATTAGTTGAGATGGCGAAAGTGCATTTAGCAGTCGTACATCGTACGAAACTCGTATACGTACACAAAGACCTCGAGTAGATTGTTAGATTACACACTGACAGATACACGCGTGTATACGCAGTTATACAATACCTCCGGAGTACCGAGAGGTTGCGTTGTTGAAGAACAATGATGCATTTCTGGACTCCCAGGGCTGCCCCCACTGCCACCGTAATCCGGCACATCCATCTTCGAGCATAGCGACTGCAACAGCAAAGATGAAATGGCTCATTCTTGTAAAAAATCGCGCCCATCGCAATTAAGGTGTTTTACCACGATAACGTAAGATGTCGTGTCCTATCATATGACATATTATGTATTTTATATTTACTCTATAGAATTATTAATCTTTTTTTTATATAATAATACAAAGACGAGAAAAACAGTTATTATTAAATCAAAATTCGTGAAGCTAAAACAATTAGAAACAGCACCTTTAAAGTACTTTGACTTGTTTCCGAATAGACATCTATCTTACCAGTTTTTAAAATAGCCTCGTTATTTATATAGGCATACAAGCCCAATTTACATATTTTTTAACTTGCGAATCCTTACATTGAAAAAAAGTAATTTTTTAAATATCTTATAATTAAAATAATTAAAAGAAGTAGTTAAAATAATATAATGCTAACGCTGTTTTATCAGGAGTGTTAAGTCATAAAATAAGATTCCATCTAAATAAAGCCATTCATTTTACTCACTTATCTAATTAAGGAAAATAATCTTAGTTAAGCTTACACACGACTTTCTGCTTGGATCAATGAAACTAAAACTATAGAAACAGCTTCAAAATGAATTGAAGTTTACGTTTTAGTACTTTACACATTTTTCCAAAAAAATTAAAAATTAAAAGCCAAATCCAAAGGAATCAAAATAATACTTTGTCAGATTTATCTATTCGTTAATTGAATTTATATTCATTAGAAACATTCTTCAATAATAATAATTTTTTAAATATTATACTAAATTAACAGTAAAATGTAAAATGTGGTAATTACAAAATAATTATAGCACAATTTGCACTACAATTTACATTACAATTTGCAAATTATTAATTTTTTATCAATTTTGACAAATTTGTTTTTTGATTATTCTAAAGTATTCATTTCAAAATTAAACAATTTACCACTGTACTAAATACTATTTAAAATTGGAGCAAATACTCCTATTAAAAGGATACTTAAAATATATTGTAATTATTTGCCCTAGTTAAAAAGAAAATTCTTTTATTTGTAATTTAAAATTAATAATTAAATATAATACAATTTTGGATTAATTTTTCGATGATGAAACGTCAATGTAATTATTATGAAAAAATCTCTTGATGAAAATCATTTTCTAATATATCCAAAATTATCATTTTTTTTAATATATTTTCTTAATTGTTTATTTACCTCTTGTTGTTGCAGTGTTGTGGTTGGTGAACAGACTTGATAATTTTGTGACGGCGTTGTAGTGTTGTCGATTTCTTGTTTGATACTAGATAAAGTTCTATTACTTCCTATCATACTTTCAGCTGTAGTACCGGACATCATGCAGACCTTTTAATAAAACATAACAGTGATAATTTCTTCAGACAATAAAATTATTTGTTAACATATATTGTTCTAATGAATTGGTTAAACTGAAATAAATAATAATTTTACTATGAAAAAATATAATTCTGAATAAAAAATATAAAATATATAATAATCCTTGACAATACTATCATATGTACATAAGCACTACGATATCTCCCTCACACACACATTTCTATATAACATTATTAATATTAATAATAAATTTTAATTAGTAACAAATTATATTCGCCTGATATTTAATGATTTTCTTAGTAAATACTATTTTTTATTTAAAAATATACAAATGACATGATTTAAATCTATAAAAAATCAATAGAAAAATTAATAACTTGACTGTATTAAAGGTTAAAAAATAAAAAAGGAAATGCGTGAACGAAAATAAGAGCTAACATAAGAAAATATAAAACAATTTTAGAACTTTGTAGTCTTAATACATACACGTCAGAGATTGCACTTTTTTCCGCGATATCTATTTTTAATTTAGTCTAATGCAAAAACATTTTTAGAATCGTTCTCCTGGAAGACATATATCTACAGTCATTTCTCATAGTGTCCACATTATTTCAGTAATTTCAGAATTGACAAGTTGATAATACTGTTATTTTTTACCATCAACTATTTTAAATGATATATGAAAAACCAGATGCTCTACCAACTTAATGCAATGTATATAATATTTCAAAATAATTTCCTAAATTTTTTGAAGTCTGTAATATTATTTTCAAAAACTATTAAACGTCTCTAGTGATTTTTATATAATTATAAAAAATTGTATTTCGAATTTTTAAAATTGAATCTACAATTTTTAGAAAATAAATATAAATACTATTTAGATTTTCTTAAATTATTGTTTTTCATATGAAGTTTCACATAATATAATATAAAATATTATACATTTTTTAGTTTTACGGCAAATCCAAATATTTCATAATTAATTTGATAAAGAATTCTCAAAAGTGATTCATAATTTAAACTTTATATGAATTTAGATAAATATTTGGTTTAAACATTTAAAATTTCTATTATTGTTATATAGAAAATATACAATGTCGAGAGGTATTTTCATCTTTTAGACCTGTTATGAATTATAAGTTTAACGTATTATTAAAATTAAACTTTGTACACGTCAACTTGTACTACGTTCAAAAAATGTATTAAAACGGATAAATACAATACCTTATTTTATAAATTTTTGTATTTTAAATGAAGTTTCTAATTTAAAACAATTTTTTGATTCTACTATTATTTGATTTATTCTATTCCAGAAATTCTCAAATTCTTTATAGTTTTTTATATTTGCATTTTTTATAGCTATAAGGAATACAGCTATCATTAATATTCAAATTTTATAAAAATGAATACAGTAAAGTTATAACTATTGTTATTTAAATAATAATATAATTTTTTTAGGTCACAAAGATTATTAAAAGAAATTATAGTGGCAAAATAAATGTTATGCCTTAAGACACAATGTAACTAAAGAAAAATTGATTCGATAATCGCGCGCTTTTAGCTGAAACGACGCTTGTCCCGATTACATCAATTGCAACAATATTAGAGTGGATCGGTGCTATTTGGCTCAGGGGGCAATTTGAATCACGGTGAAGTAATTGGTAAACCTAACTGTATGGCCTGTTAAAGTCTACGGTGCAATCGAGGTCACAAATTTTATCTCTACTTCGTTTGAAGTAACGAAACACTTAGATATTGATTCGATTTACAATTTCATATTTTAATTTAATTATCACAATTTATTCGCTTAACAGAAAATATTTGCATATAATAAAAATAAAGTGTATAATAACGTATAAAAATAGTACACTTTTAAGTTTATTGTGAGATTATATTATGTATCATATCCAAAAATATAACTTGAATACAAAAATTTATGTCTTAATGTTCTTGAGAAAAATTTTTTTAACTGTAAACAATGTTGTTAAATTAGTAATAACTACACAATCTTGCATAGGTTTATAATTTTGTAATGTAAAAGTATAAAAGATGTTACCAAATTTTTTTTACTGTCCTACATAATATAGTCACACAATTTTTAATTTAATTCGGATTAAATTCTGATTAAAAAAATAATATAATTTTATTAACTTTATTCCACAAAATAAAAAATTGATAGATCTACAAGTAAATAGTAATTTAAGAAATCAAAAAATCCCTAGAACTTTAGCTATTTAAAGAAATTTTTTACTGAAAGAAGTAAAAAACATAATATCGTATAATTCAACGAGCTATATAAATGTACTCAAAATAAGATCCTACTAAAAAAATAAATACTTGACATTACCTGAACATCGCGTGTGTTCCATCACAAATATTAATAACAAGCGTAAGTACTTACATTATCACGAAGATTGGGGTGAAGAGTTAAAAAAGGCAAAAAAATATGTTTCATAACCAGTATAATCAAATATAAGTTTGATATTAAACATATATTAATGTGATTTTCCGTCATCAATATAATTAATATTTACTGATATTTAATAAAAATTCTACGTTGTATTAATATAAAAACTTTAGTAAACATCTGAAAACTTCATTAAAAATATAGCAACCCAGTTTAACATTTTTTAGCTAAGTTTCTGTTATGATAAATTTTTTCACTTAAATTTATCGTTATTAATATCGTGCAAGTGTATATATTAATATAATAATTAATAGCAATAAAAACCTAATACTGCCATCAAATTTATATAAATATAATTTTTTACTTAACATTTTTATTCGGTATAATAAAATTTGTAAAATTTTATAAAGTAACATTTCATAAACTATGAAAGTGTTTATTGTTTTTTAAATAGATTTAATGGCAGTATTAGGTTTTTATTGCTGTTAATTACTATATTAATACATATTATAATTAATATTATATTAATCGATATAATAATAATTATATTAATAATGGAGTGACTACGAATTGCAACAAGAATGAAAATTGTTTTCAATATTTTGTTTTATGCCTAATCATCGATTTTGTTAATTCATGAAATATGTAATGATAATAGCTACACTGGCATTTACTCAAATATTTTATTAATACAATAAATGCCCAAACAAAGAAACTAATTTTTTTTTAATTCCACGGAGACTTAAAAATCTGGGCTGCCGAATTTAACCAGAAGATTAGGGCGTCGATGAACAAGCTACCAGAACTCATCCCTGACAACGATAAAAGTAGTTCCAGCTCGCTACTTGCGTAATGGTCGTTCGGTACAAAGGGTTGCGTAAGTTCAGCCCTATGCCATAGATATCATATTCTAACCCTCGTACGCTTCCTCTTCCACCTCCATCACTACCTTAAAAAACCCGGGCACGAGTCTAGTGCGCCATCCGCCCACACTCCCACCAGTTCTCGGAGTTAGCTCGCGCGTGGCAAAGCTGCCGCCAAAGAGGGGGGCTTTTGCGATCGGCGCTGCTGGCAATGCCGGCAACGACGGCGGTGGCGGAGGTGGAGACGAAGGCGGAGATGGCCCCAGCTCTCGGCTCCCGGCTGGCCTTGAACTTGACTTTTCTAAGAGCTTGTGGCCGCGATCGCGAAGGCCGAGAGAGCGCAGTGAGCACAAATTTAGACGGCCGAGCCTCGACGGAAACGGCCGATGACGAAGACGTAGGCGCCGAGATGCGCGCTAGCGAGGGGCATTCGGAGGGGCAGGGTGCGGCCTTGGATGGACATATATATATGTACACCTAAACGCATACGCGTGTAAAGAAGAGCAAAATGACGCCGATGTCGCGTCATACAAGCGAACTGTGCCGACGGCGGCACATTACTCTTTTAAATCCCGTGAGCTTCTGCCTACGCATAATTCTACACGATGAATGCATTCGTCTCGAATCTTTGCCATTGGCGAACAATTCGCATCGCTTTTGAGTGCAAAACAGCTTACTTTTAGTAATCGACTAATCCGGCTGGTGACGTATTTTTATTCGCATCCCTTTGGATGTTACAAGCTAGTCGAAATTAACGTAAAAATACAATTTATAAAAAAAGCTTAAACATTTACGCAATAATTTTTTCGAGCTCTCAATTCTTGAAAATAATTGAGCTTGACATTAGAAATATGAGTTGATTTATGTAAATTTCCAACGAACTGGAATTACAATCAAAGAAATCATATTTTTCGTCAATTTTCAATGAGAAGTAAACGCAAATTTAATAAACGGTAGTATAAAATAGTTTCAATTTATTATTGGGGTTTCTATTTACCTACATATAAGAACGCAGCAATTGATTTCAGTAACAGATCATAATTTTTTTACTCAAAAGTTTTTTGTTTAGTATTTTAATACTTCTTTGTTTTTTATCTAAGATTCATAAAAATATTTTAATAGTAAAAAAGAGAAATCATACACAATATTTTTTTTTTTATAAAATATCGATCAATCAATAAAAATTGTTATGCGATTGCGAAAATTTATATTAGTTTTTTAAAAGCAGAAGTCAATATAACATTAATTAGTATACAGCAATCATCTGATGTATTTTTTTTTTTTTTAATATCAATTACGCTTTTAAAAATATCCACATTTGTAAATTAAGAAACTTTTCATGGTAAGACATTTTCTTAAATTATTTACTTAAGTAAAGTAAATATTCAGTATTATACAATGTGGTTTTATTATTTATTGAAGCTATTATAACTTAAAATATAATAACTTAAATTATAATATTAAAATATAAATATTAAGTACATTATATTAAACAAAATTGGTAAATTTACAACAAAATTACAATAAAAATTACAAAAAATTACAATAAAAATTACAAAAAATTATGCTTCTTCAAAATTAAATGAAATATAATTTCAGTTTATATTGAGTTAGATAGTAATCCTTTTTTGCGCTATATTAATCGAATAGTATTTCTTTATTAATTTGAAATTTTTATCAGGTAACATAAATATAACATTTCTTTAAATAAATAAAAATTTGTAGTTATTTGTTCTATA